TTGGTGTAATATCTCTCTCTCTTGTCTCTCTTCTATCTCTCTCCTATATATACGTGTGTTATGTATGAAGTTGTTACACTCTAGAGATGTCAGATGACACAATATACCATCATGTCGACGGGCATAGGCGACACTCTCTAGTTGTGTCGTTACACTCTGGATATGTGAATAAACGAATAAACATCATTACCTAGAGTAGCGGTAAGCTACTCCACCTCTATCCAGTTTGTCAATACGGTATAAACTCAACAGAGTCTTATTAATCGTTACAGGCAACTGGTGGAACGGGAAATCAGCCTAGATGATATTACACCAGCAGTATGTGTACTTGTAATTTTTTTATTTAAAAATAGACTCATTTTTACTTTAAGCGACGAGTTAAGTTACTACAAAAGAAATTTCTGGTCTAGCACAAACGATGATTGTGAAATTGTTAGCAATTACTCACATGACAATGTTTTCGAGGTGAAATTCATTGTCTTACATGAGCCAATTTATCTTTCGTTCCGTTGAAGAACTGCTTATATTTTATTTAGTTCTATAACATGCAACAGATTTGATTCAAAATCGACGTGCTGAAATCGCTATGACATACTAATATGTTAATCAAATGTTAGATAGTTGATTAGTTGTCTACAATGTGAATAGTGAACGTTCAGATGCTGGAGAAGAAAATGTGAATTCAAACTGTTTTAATTCATACTAGTACATCACTTGTGGAATGCCAATGCTTAGAGGAGAAAAGTATTCGTATTATTTCTAAATATTCATTGAATCAAGATATTAGGTTTTGTATAGAGATATTGACGATGATATTCAGATGAGTGAATTTGCTTTAAAAAAAAGCGTTCCTTTGGAACTTGCTGACCTAGATTTACGTGCTAGTTGGACCACGAACAATACATGTTGATGATAAACTATGTGAAGTCGTTCTTTCAACTGATAGTGGGATAATTCGTGATAGTAATAAAATCATGCTTATGAGAGCATTAAAATATACAACATGCTATTTGCTTTCAGTGTGGCATTATATATAATAAGTAACTTTGATTCGCATTCCGTATCGTTTTAAACAGCTATTTCGAGAATTTATTCTAATGAAACGTCAGTTATTCAAACATTACAATCTTATCATCCAATAATTCATGTGCAGAAACATACGAAATTTTTTATTGGATCATTTAGTTTAATAAATCCATTGACTATCTTAATCAACGAGCTGAATATATCCGTGTCATTATTATTGAATGGCCAACAAAATCTTCAATTACAGTAGCACACATTGTTTCAGCAGATATTCAATGTAGTTTACTCAGTGCTCGACGTTGTGAAAATTTCGATGATTATTGTCAACAAGTTGATTGATTTAAACTATCTGTACGATAGTATGTGATTTAGCATCAGAAAAGTTCAAATGACATCTTTTCACCTGGATACATGATTTCTTTTTCTGGTGATTATAAATAGCCATGTTGTGAGAAATTCACATTATCGTTCCTTCTTGTGAATGAGACATTGGGCCTGCTAACTTCATATATCAGTGCACATCAACAGTTGAGTTTTTTGTCACGCAAATGTTTCTCTATTCAACATAATCTCTTACAATTTTTCTTGATTTATAAATGAAAGTGTTGCTCTAGCAAGTCGATGTTGTGATCAAACTGCACATTTTCTTTATCGCAACATGTATTTTGATCCGTAGTGATTATTTACCTCTTGGTAAGTTTATAATAAGAAAAGTCTTTCTGATATGAAAATAATTGAGAGAAAAATGATTTCTTACTCTGCATCTCCGCGAATTAACTTGTTTTTTATAACTTACCAAGAGATAAATGATCTTTAGTGATCAAATACATGTTGTGATGGCGAAATTGCACGAATCTATGCGAAATAACGTGTAGTCAAATATCATGTTGCAAAAGATAAACTCATTTTTTTTCTAAAATTCTCCTTTTTTCTTTTGAACGTTAATTTTAGTTGGTAATAATAAGATAAGAAGAACGATAGCTAAGAATGGTCTATACCTTCTGGAAGAAAACGTTCTGTTGAATATTATTCGCGGAAAGATGAATTGCAGAACTTGAATTTCGAGTCGAAGCTATTCTTGATAAACAGGTATGGAGAAAAAATATTTAATTGCTTCTAAAATAGAAAGTTTATTTCGATGTTGACCATATCATGGTAGATAAAAGTAATGTACTTACATTGTCTAGATTTACCGAAAAACAAAACCTAATGAAAAAACTAAAAGGAAAACAAAAATAGCTAAATTTCATGATAGTACTGAAAATCAACTAATTGATTCAAATCCATATCATGAGAATGACAGAGTACATGTCATATAGTTTCAGTGTCTTACATCTTAAATGACACTGAATAATCAAAATTTCACGAATAAAAGAAAATATTTCTAATGAATCAACAAACTTATTCAAGAATATACTCGTTGATACTCGTATGTTGATTTATTTGTTTTCATAATCAAAATTTCTTACCATCACAGGAAGATATTCAATATAGAATTTTCGTTATTTTCTAATGAAATATGTATGCCAAAGATAAAAGATCGTCAATAAATGTTGTCGGTGCATATACGATGTAACACGACAACATAAAAGATCAATTAGCGGTCTAGTGAATATAACAAGATTTGTTTTTTTGTCACTTTTAGGAATTCTTGTGATCTTTACAATCGCTTGTACAACAGTCAATTAAACCATCAAAAAACCAATTTATGTAGTAAGCGGGATGTTAAATTTTACAAGCAGAAATGAAATTCATTTGATGTTGATTGCGTACCAATTGTCTATTTCTTACGAATAACAAAAATGACTATAAATAGTAATGATTTTCAACGTTAGAAATCATTCCCCATCTTTCTTTCTCTTCTTACTATATTACATGTATGTTTTATTATTTCACTATTTTAGCTTGTTATTCGTACTGATGATTGTTCAATATCATAGGTAAGTATTAGTTTTAGTTTATTTTTTTATTGTCTCAGCTTTTTATCCCATTTATTTTAATTTTTATATAATTATAATTGTCTTTCTATTATCTATTTTAGTAATGCACAAAAGAGTAAGTATAACTTTTTGTATATATGTATATATTTTACGTCCTACGGAGGCCTTCCATACATCGGCGTGAAACTGGCCATGCCTACCTTGGTGCCCATAGCACGTAAAGGCCGCATATAGATCTTCCTGTTGTATGTTCTATACACGCTAGATCTATGCCTGTACGTGAAGAGCCTTGGCTCTCTACGGCACCACCAAGGTAGTTCTTGGTCGCGCGAGCAACTATTAGCTGGTAAGCAAAAAATAAATTAATTTTCATTTCAATCAATTTATTTATTTTCATTTAACAAATAAATAAATAAAAGAAGAAGAAATGAAACATATGACGTAATTTTATATTTTAGCTTTTTTCTTTTCTTTGAAGCGAAAGAGTAAAAGAAAATCTCTTTTTTTCTTGTTCATTTATTTCAAAGTATAGAAAAAGAAACGAACAATGAAAAAACAATTCACAAGTCTTTTTCGATAGAAAATCGTTGAACACGAGCATTATCATGATCGACGACATAGAGATTACCATGTCGATCGAGAGACAAACCAACGGGGACGTCGAACTGATTTGCTCCTTTTCCTTGACCATTTCCACCCACAACTACAATGGCTTGTTTCTTGTCTCCTTGAGTCCAACGCATTACGTGATGATTCCCCCAGTCTGCTACATAGAGTGTACCCAATGTATCAACGAAGATTGCTTGAGGACGATACAATTACGTCAGAGCATTCCCTAGGCCTTGTCCCCCAGCAACAACAATACCTTCTTTTGCACCCTTATTCCATTTCATTACACGATGATTGTTCCAGTCTGATACGTAGACAGTCTGTTGTCGATCGACAAAGAGATAGCTCGGCTCGTTGAGTTGATTGAGTCCCGAACCTTTGCCATTACCGCCAGCTACGAGAGTGCCATTCTTCTCATCCAATTGATATCGTCTTACTTCATGTTTTCCGGTGTCGGAAACGTAGAGATATCTCTGTTCATCCATTGCTAATCCCCAACAGGCGATGTTGTCGATGAGTATTTCACCTTGTGTTGTACCACTACGACGAGACCATCGTACAACTCGTCCATTCCCTTGATCACAAATAATGAGACTATCCGTCTCTTTGTCAATTAATACATCAGTTGGAGCATACAATTCATGTAATCCATTTCCTTGGCCTTTACCACCAGCAACAACTTGTCCATTCGTTGTATCACCGTTCTTCCATTGCATGATACGATGATTCTCGCGGTCAACAATAACCACTGTTTGGTCGTCATCAACGAAGAGACCAAAAGGTCAGAAGAGTTGATTAGTGGCATCCCCTTCCCCGTTACCTCCAGCAATAGTCACTCCGTTCTGCTTCCATGTAGCATTAGCAGGAATATTAACTAGAAGAGAAAACGTATAAGAATAAAAGGAGATCTTTCTCTCTCTCGAAAGTATCGAGGTAAAATTTTTTGAATAGATCTTTTTTTGCTAGAAATTCCTCAGAATAATCTATATACTGAAAGATGATTCTATAGAAACAAAATAGAGTTCTCTCTAATGCTCTTTTTTCTTGCATCAAAATAGTTCTATATTTTGCTTTGTATTTTTTGAGAGTCTATATTTTCTATGAACATATATGAGCATATCATATGCGTACGCAATGTATTATTTTTCTATCTTGAGGGTGTCAATTTACAGTTAATTTTTGTTTAAATTTAACTTCGTGAAAAGTTAATTTTAAATTAAATTACTATGAGAAAAATACGTGAATTTAACAGTAGTAGTAAATATACTAATTTTTCATTTAAAGTCAAAATTTCTCTACAGATTATGCAGGATCCTTCACCTTTCTTCTTCAAAAACATCGGGATGCTCATAACTATATATATTTCATAACAAAATTCGTAGAAGAATGACTATAGCTTTAACTTTACAAAAACAGGAAACATAGTCAAATATTTGACTTTAAATAGTAGCAATCAAGTCAAGAACTATGTTTATCTACTAGTTTTCAAAATTTAATTAATTTCAATTTAGTTAACTTTAACTTTTCATTTAAAAAAGAATTTTATTTATTAATAATTAAAATGTGACACCCCTGTTTCCTATGATCACAAAATATATTTTTGCTAGAATTTGTTTTTCGCGTTCTCTTAAATCTAAGTAATTAGAAGATTTCTGTGCCATTAATTTACCGTTTCAGATATTCAGAAAAGCACACATCCCGTTTTTGGTATAGGCATGCACATCCTTCCTTATTTACAGATTTGCGTTTTGCTTTTTATAGAATTCCCTTTTGTTCATGAGAATGATAATTAGAGTACATAGGCGGCGGAACGATTTCAATCTAGGGTAGGCTCAATTTTCCAGCGAAATGATGTC